GGGGGTTGGTGGTGTGGAAAGATGAAGCCTCGCAGCACAGATATATTGCCATTAGCCCATGTAAGCAGCTTAGCGTTTAGACTGTCAGTGCTTGGGAAGGTTAGATAAAGATGCACCCTGTGTTTGCAGTTCTGATTCAAAGCATCACTGCTGCTCTGGGATGCCTTGGGGTTTTTTTTGGGGGGTGGGAGGGGGCATATAGACAGATGCTCTGTTCATGCATATGTGGAGGGAGGTGGGGGGGAGTGGGGAAACTTTACATTCTGTAGGGTGTAAAATGCTTATACATCTCTCAAACTCGTTAGAGGTCTGTAGAGAAAAAAGTACCTTCATCTTTCCTTTGGAGTATGATAGCGATGTGGGCTTCAGAGGGATGGGGTTGGGTTGCTCCAGTGAGCAGCAGTCGGGCTCAGCTGCAGTCACGACTTCACAGATTAGAGGGAATCTTTGCCCTACATTAAAATCTTTGCCATTTTGGCACTCTCTTGTGAAGGTCTCTTCAATCACAGCTCTCCAGGGCCTGCTTTTGGGCCTGGGGCTGGCTGCTGCTGCTTTACCACGCCTGGGCAATGTGTAATAAAGGAACAAAAACAACTCGCCTCCATCTTCGTGTGCAGAGGTGCAAGGGCGGTAGTGCTGGTGGTGTGCTATGTGCACCCAGAGGTGCTGCTCGAGCAGGACAACAGCACTGGCACATGGGCAGGGAGCAATGTGCTTTAGTGTATGGACTCAAATAAAGAGGAGAAGGAAGGAAGACAAACTTACTGGAGGCCTCTTGCCCTGCTTTGACCCCGCTCCTCCTCTTTGAACCCTCTCTCCCATGCCAGCTGGACCAAATTGCAATGCAGTCCATCCCTGCAGGGATGCTGATGCAAGCGGTCAGGTCCAGAATTACCCACCCCTGTGCAGACCAGCCCTGGATGATGCATTCATCCCCATCACTGCCACAGGGCCTTGCAAGCTCTGGCACAAGGCTTTAGCCTGCAGATCTTGGTGCCAACGCCTGCAGGGGCAGTTACAGGTGGCCCTGTCACCCTGACATCCCCCACTGCTGCCTTCACCTGCCAGGTCCCTTACACCCACCATCTATCCCTGGCCCTCTGCCTCTGGCTGCTTCTCGAGCAGCCCCCATGAAGCACTTGGTTCAGGGAGCTAAAGGATCGCCTCGCCAGCTGGATGCCAGCGAAAGGGGTATTTCTGTTTGGGGTTTATCTGGGAGGAAGGTTTGCAGCTGGTTTCCGAAGGGGCGGGAGAGCTGCAGTCTTCTGACATGCAGGGTGAGCAGAAACTTGACAGCGAGGCAGTCCCTCTCTCCTGGAGAAGGGGGAAGGCAAAAATGGTATTTTTATGAGGGCCCGTTCCTCATTGCAACAGCATTTTGAAGAGGAAATGACAACCAGCTTTAAAAAAAGAAACGGGAACTTGAGCTCTGTGTGGAGACAGAGGCTGAAGGACAGAATTAAAATCTTTTCAGTAAAGGGGGAGGGGACACACACTCTATGTTTGCTTTTTAACTAAAGATTTTTCTGCTCATTATTAATTAGGACTGATTGGAAAAAGAAATTGCTGCCCTGTGAGAAATGCTGGTGTTTTGATGTTTGCTTTTCCCCTCTGAAACTGGACTGAAAAATTGATCTCACAGGAGGAAGCATTTTTCCTGAGGGAGAAACCATAATGGCAAAGTCAACATTTTGGTGGTTTTGATCTGCTAGGTTATGTGATCTGGGCTGTTAAACCTAATACTCTGAGTGAAATATGATCAGAGCAGAAGAGTTTACTTTTGAATCATTTTAGAGTCTGACATTTTTCATGAAAACTAATACTTTGTGGAAAAATACCTTTGTTGAGATGTATCTCAACAAAAATACAACAATCTGAGTTTGTTTCTTTTCTTTGCATATATCTAGTAATGGAAAGAGTATCCTTTTGCTGATGCCCATGGCTGGGAGGAGAACCTGGATAATTTGATCCTTAGGAGAGACCATTTGCAGAGAAATGGTGTCATGGAAAAACATCTATTTGAGGTCCTCGTCCTCTGAACAATCATGGCAAGTCACTTGAGCTGGGGAAAAAAAAAAAAGCAAAGGATGGCTGAAGTGAGCTGGGAAGCTCTCTCAGTTGCCAGGGCTTCGAGGACACAGTGCAGAAAGCACTTTTTTGATGTTGCCTGTTTTGCTGGCTTCTCCTGGGAACATGCTTGCATTTCCATGTGTTTCCAGATACTGAGCTGCCTGCTGGACCACAGTGGTCTGTCTCTGGGTTGTGCTTGTTCAAAGCACCTAGACCTACTCAGCTGTCCTCGAGCTCGTGACCCCCCCTCAGCATCTCTCACCATCCAGGATGTCCATAGAGACTTGAGGGGAAAATCAAATCTTGTTCAGTTTCCTTCCCTCCTGAATGCTGGACTCAGAGGTGATTTTATTCTTCCCAAGAATGCAGCATGACTCTCAGGCACTGATTTCTGCCAGTGCACAACTGGATTAAGTCGCTAGCACTGAGGCATATCACCAGATCCTTTTAGAGGTGCTGGTGGCAGCAGCCTGCTCCTCCTACCCAGGAGCTGTTAGCGAAGATCCTCCACATACCTTGTAGGTCCAGAGCCTAGGAGAGGATCTGGCTGCCCCCAGCTCGGCCGTGGGTGGCTTTTCTCCAGTGTAGGAAGGCTGGCACCTCCGAGGAGGGGCACGTGAGCTGTGCGTGGGCAGGCAGACTGCAGTGCACGCCTGCAGTAAGCCAGAGTGGCTTGCATGTGCATTGGAGGATTAGTCACGTTGTCTGCAAAAGCCCAAGGCCAGGAGGGATCCCTGTGGTTATTTTAATCTGACCTGCACTGAGCAGTCATCAGCTTTTCTGAAGGAGTCCTGCTGTGAATAAGAGGCGAGGATGTCTAAGCTAGAGCTGGTCCATCCCCCGATGCCAGACCACCTACCACTTTGGCCTTGAAGATGTTTTTTAGGATAAATAAGAAGCTCACCACCTCCCAAGGGGGTCTCCATGTGGCAGCAGGTCCCCTGTGGAAGACTGTGGACCGCAGTGCAGGGGAGTGTCCTTTGGGAAGCAGTCTGGTCTTACTGCAAAGCTCAGCAGCTGCTAGGCCCACCAGAAACCAAGGAATGTTTTCGTAGAGGGCTTTAAGCTTTCAAAGATTGTTTTCCCTCTGAGGGGTGATGTAACTCACCCTTTCATTTAGAAATCCCCAGGAAATCGTCCATCCCAAAATAATATCCCTCATTCAAATAAAACAGAACATGAACTCAGGCTGGGTCTGTGTTCCCAGGCGAGCACCCTGCCCACAAATTGATGGTTACTTGCTTGGCGTCTCATTCTGCACAAAATCTACAGGAACTGAGCTTTCTCCCTAAGGAAAAGCCAAATCCCATGTTTCCATCAGACACCTCTGCCACCCCGGAGAACATCTGAAAACATTTTATCTCCTAGGTTTGTCTTCAGCTCCTCTCTAAGGGGACCCCCTTTGGTGGCAGAAAAGTCCTGCCCTGCCCAGAAGCTGAGCTCTCCCCATCCTGCCAGCAGCCAGGAGGCAATAAGGATGGAAGCAGATCAACACTGGGGCACTGGGAAGAGGACAAGCAGGGTCCCATGGGGTCCAGAAGATGTGAGATACTAGAGGGGAGACACAGAAAACCCTGTCCCCAGTCTAGAAATCTTGTCCTGCCATGGAAGACCTGAGGAGCCCAGGCAATTCAGCACACCACAAAGATTGAGACTGACTTGACATGGTGTTGAAATAGCAAAAGACTTACTGATCGAGAAGCACAGAAAGGGTAGAAGAAGCAGTAGCTGGAAGCTGGAACCAACCTCTTCTAATCTGAAAAATAAACCCCAAAAAACTAACAGTATTGATACTTACCACTAAGAAAAACAATCAGAGAGATGGGGGTTCCCCAATTCTTGGTGCAGAAACTGCAGCTTGTCTGCTTTTCTGTAAGAGGGGGTTTAACAAAACAAGGTTTTAGGCTCAGTTTAGCAGCTGACACCAGCAAAGTGCAGGAGGTGAGACAATATGCAGAGTATTGCTCTGCTCTGGCCAGCCATGGAGAGACCTCTGGGCCTCCTCCCGGGGGCCATGGGAGAAGCAGGAGAGGAAACAGAGCTGAGCAGTCAATGTTTGCATTTGCTGGAAGTTGTGAGAGCCAGAAGATACTTTGGGTTGGGTAAGCTGTTCCGGCAGCTGGCGGAGAGCTGCAGGATCACTTTGCCAAATGAAGATTGTTCAACGTGTGCTGACAGCTTGTTCTGAGCTAAAGCAGGTTAGACTTTGTGACTTCATGACGTGCAGATGATTTTCTTAAAAGGCTCTTGCAGTTAAAAAGGTTTTACTTAGTTCTAGGTGGTGGATGGCTGGAAATTATCAATCCCCCTCCTCTGGCAGATCTGTACAGTATCTGACTGA